AATGCATAAAGTTTGCATTTCATTTTTATTTGTGTTTAAGTTGCTTTCAACAAGTTTTACAGAGTATTTTAATTTTTCGTAAAATTAAAACATACTAACGTACTTTTACTTACTATAAACAACTTCTGACTATGTAGTAGTAATTTTGCAAAGAACTAATAAAGTATAGGTTCGTTTTCATTGACCTCAGAAGTAAGAGCTAATGGCACAAGTTGTGCTACTCTAATTTAAATTTAAAAATTTGTTTGTGAACTGAAAAAAGAAGCGATTAAAAAATATTTATTTTTTGACAATGCACCAACTGGAAATACATTTACAAACTTTAAACAAAATATCGCCCAACGTAAAAAATTCGTAACATAAAAAAGTATCGCAATATAAAAAAATACCACGCAACGTAAAAAAAATATCGCAACATTAAAAAAATATTACACAACGTACAAAGAAATATCGCAATATAAAACTAATATCGCAACATAAAAAAATATCGCACAAAGTTTTTGACATAATTTCTAAAAAGTCAAATTGTTTACGAATAATTATGCTAAGTGTGATTTAATGCATTCAAAAATTGTTAATAAATGATAAATTTTTAGATTTATTTTGTTATTAATTAAAAAATCAGTTATCGCATTTGAAAAATGATTTTATGCTTTACAAAAGTGATTGTACGTTGCAATGAAGTATAACTTAGCATGACTAAAAGTAACGTTGAAAGTCACTTTTCAGCCTCTTGTTCGTGCTTACTTACGCTTAACTTCATTTGTAATAAATATTACTTTGTGTCGACAAATAATTTTTGTAATAATTAAAAAAGTATTCAACAGAATTTTAATTTTTTAAAGTGTTAGTCATGCAGGTGTAACAGTGGATATACTCATAAAATCTCATGAAATTTGAGTTTATTTGTTGAATGCGTTTTACTCTAAGCTAATGATATTAATACTTTATGAGTTCAATTTTTTAAACAAATTATCAATTAGCTAAAAAGCTGCGAGAAAAAGTTTTGAAATAAAGCATTAAATTATTATTCGAATTAGTTTTAATTGCGATCATAAATTTAAAAAATGAAAACAAAGATTCTTCTGATAATAAGCCATTTTGTTCATTTGATTATTTACCAAAAATATTTTAATATTGATATGCCATTCGATCTTTTTTTAATCTTTCCACTGATATCAGATAATCATTGCATATATTTTGATAATTATACTTAAATAGCATTCGATCAAAATTCAAAGCTATAATTTGTGCATAAAGCCAGTTTGAAGTGATATATTCAAACAATAATTTGTTCTGTCAAAAAAATTTCCGTCACAAAAAAGTATAAAAAGTCTTCAAAGTATTTGCTTGGAACAAATTTGATTTCAAGTTAAGAAAATATTTTACAATAATAAAAAATGAAA